CACTTCCACTTCCACTTCCAGTTCCACTTCCACTTCCGCCATAACAATAACCAGAAATGCTCTCTTAACCCACCGAGGCCCAAAATGCCCAAACCAAAACCACTTCAGAGTGCGGCTCATAAATTTGCGACAACAACAAGGGCGACAATTAAGGCGAACAACTGATGCTTGGGCCAGTGGGCGTGGCCACTTGCAATTTCAATTGCTTGTCATGCGAGTTTTCGAGGGGAAAATAGGGGGGCAGGGGGGTCAAAGGGCAGGGGGCGTAGGGCGAGGGGCGAGGGGCGTGGCTAGTGGCCAAGTTGTGGTGGCAGCTGTTCATGTTCATTTCGACGCCTTCCTTGTTTTAATTGTTATCGCAGCAGCAGCAGCGGCAATAGCAACAAACAACAGTCATGACAACAAGAGCAACATTTGATAATTAGATATTAAATAATGAATGACATATTTGCTTGTGTGTGTGTATACAGTACTTCCGGTTACACGTATCTCAGCCATTTGCGTTCGCCCTTCGGCCATCTTGAACAACAACCACCCCCATTTGCCACCCGAAAACCCAAAACCAGAAACTCCCTTTCGGCCACAGGCCTTTTGCAATTGCAATAACTATTTGCGGTTCTTTGAGTGCAATTGACCAAAAGTGGAATTTAATTTAGCTTGAAGTTTGGGTCGAAATACCAGGCATTTCACTGCGCATTGGACACTCACATATATACACAGAAAAAAATTGACAAAAGATCAGATATACATGTGCTGGTCAATTTAATATATATATTTTAAGATCAACTTATTCATATAATTTTAACATGAATTTAGAGTATTTTTACCTTATTTTACAATACTTTTTCAATAACTACAAAATTTGATATTTTAAAACAGTATTTTTATATCATTTATGAAATGAAATATCAAGGATATTTGATATGAGATAAGGTAGAAGTGACCACATTTCATATCTCTTTTATATTTTCTGTGTAGATTCGGTGGGCCAAGATCTTAGCATTCGCTTCGCTTGAATTTAATTCAATTCGAATTAAAGACAAGACTCCTTCGTCACAACAGAGAGAAATCGAAAAGGGGGAGCCCACTTAATTTGTGCAAATTACGCAACCGTTGCGAAAGGATTTCATAATCGTTACAAATTGATTCGACAATTTGCACTCACAAAGGGCACAAGGCACAGGCACAGGGCAAAGATGCCATGCGATGGCCATGATGATGGCCATGTTAATGGCAAAATGGGCGGCGGCGGCCTAAAACTATGCAGAGCCGTCGGTCGAGGAATTAAGTCAGCGCCTTGGGCCATGATTAATTACTGAGACTAGGCCACTGGCCCGGCGGCATCCCAACATCCCATACCCAGTCGGTAGTCAGTAGTCACTTTCTCCCCACCCAAAATGATTTATGTCTTTTTAAAGATAGCCATCAACATCAGCGCGCAAACATTGGCCAGATAAAGCCGCCACAATGGACCACCCAGCGCAGTCCATTCGGTTCCGTTTCCATTCCATGCCATTCAGTTCAGTTCCATGCAGGCCATCTCATCTCATCTCCCGACTTCCGTTTCCGGTATTTGACCCCCCCATTCCCCTTCCCATCGCCCTCACAGAACTTGAAACTCGGAACTCTGTTGACTTTATTCGCATGTACCTACTCGTAAGTGAAATGAACTTGATTCCATCATTTGCTCCGAAATTGTCTATGAAAATGTAAATGTGTAATTATTTGGAAAATGGCAGGCCGGCAAATGGAAGACGCCGATGAAGAAATAAATCTTGTCATGTGCCAGGTGGCGGGGTTCGGGATTCGGGATTCGGGGCTTGAGAGGTTCGAGGTTCGGGAATGAGAATGAGAAGTGGCATCATCAGGAAGTCGGCGTAAGTTGTGCGACAAAACATTAAACACCCAATCGAGATAGAGATAGGTGGCCACTCAGCCAGAAGTTTTCACATTACTCGAACGAATCCCCATTCCACGTTCCATAATTTGGGGAATTTTTGCATTTTTAAGGACCAGGCATTACACAGAGAAAATAAAAATAGAAAATATGATTATTTCTACAAGATAGGCTTGTGAAATTTGAGAATTCGGTTTTTGACAAAAATATTAATTTTTTCTCTTTGTTTTTTTGCTGTAACTTGACCAAAAATGGTCCTACACCAAAAATACATACTTTTTTGAACAGATAACAAAATTTAAAATTAATCCATAACACTTTCCGTGTGATTTTGAAAAAATAAAATTTTCGCCAATTTTAATTTTTTTTATAAGGGGTATCATAATTTTTTGCAAAAAAATTAAAAAAAATAAAATATCCAGGCTTAAATGCCAATCGATTGGAAATTTAATAACGAGCTCAGAAAGGTACGACAATCCATATTTGGATCAATATTTCCATTATTACGGTCAAAAAAACGAGTTTTTTTTGTGGAAAATTGGGATCTTTTTAGTAAAAATTTGAATTTTTTCTTTTTGTTTTTTTGCTGTAACTTGGCCAAAAATGGTGACATGACATGTAAAATTAAATTATTTAGAATATCGAAAATGGACCACACCATGGACCACCAACCACACTACAAGCTATACAGTAATAATATTAAAGCATATCTGCAAGGGTATAAAAACTCTGGCTAGCCAAGTACACGCTTTTCAGGCTCTTGCTTATCTCAACTCTTTGTTTGTTACGTAATTTACCTGTGTTGCATATTTCACATATTCATGAAATTCCCAGAATAAGCTCAGTACATGATGCACCCCCAGTACTCACGGCTATGTGACAATGCATGCTGCAAACTGTTACGGTGGCGGCATTAGTGACCTAGTTTAAGTCCGCCGTGTTGTCGGCATAAGCTCGCCGAATTCAGAGTGGATCCTTTGAAAGCCACTCTCCATCTCCGAAAGAAAGCATAGTAAATGTGTTGTTCTGGCAAAAATTACAGAGGTTCGTACAGTAATACCCTAAACTGGAGTATAACTGCAAGTTAATCAAACAGAGAAATATTGTACGAAATAATAAAATATTAATACTACATTTTAATTTAAAATTTCAATTTTCTTATATGATTGGTAGAGGTGCACAAAAGATATTCGAAATGTTCAACACCCCAAAACATTGCCCCGAAATTCGTTGGTCATTAGTAACTTTTCTGCAGACCCCCAACCTCCCAAAAATTCAAAGCCAAGCCACAAACAATCGAAAGAAACTTTCAGGAGTGGTCAATCCGAAAAGTGACACAATAGATCTGTGAAATATCATTGCTTGGCCGAGTGAGCATCGGTACACTCAGAAAATGAATCGCCCTGAATTTTAGAAAATCGCCTATGGATTTGCTTCACTGGCGATTTTTTTCTTTAAAATAAAAAAATTTTCTACTGGTAAAGAAAATTTTCTTCCAATTAATCAAAATTCATTAAATTCAAGAAATATTTCAGAAATATAGAAAAAAATCGCCAGTAAAGCAAATCCATAGGCGATTTTCTAAAATTTTTTTTTGAGTGTAGTTTGGCAGTTCTTCGGGCGGAACGGAGGGGGAGTCCTTATACAAGGAATCTGGACGGTAAGCGGATCATTCACTTTTGCCAGACTGAACAAACAGAATGGGTTTGTCCGAAAATGTGCGAAAATTGTGTAATATTTTAAGAGAATCTTGTTGTCATTGCATTTCGGCTTATTGTTTGCGTTGTGCGAAGTTTCAAAGTCATTTGGCATACAATTGCGGACTCTGTACGACACTCACAGTCCGTGTGGCCAAATGAATTTAATGTAAAATCTTTCGGTTGGCCAACAGCAACAACAGAAAAAGTTGTGAATGTTTGTGCAACTCGGTGTCCTGTCCCCCATCCGCATCCTCATCCACATCCAAATACAGTTAGTGCCACTGCTACTGGTCTACTCACTTACTTAACAGGTGTGACAACGGCAACAACACGGCAGGGTAGCGCCTGCCACTCCAACAACTAAAGCCAAGTGAATAACTGTGACGATGACGATGACAAGGACGAAATACGGAATACGAAAGGCAGGGACACGTTTTAGTAGATAAATGCCAGGCACTTAAGTCATTTACAGCCGGCATTTAGATGTGGCAGCCACCGAGCCAAGCGGTGCAGCTTGGACCGACGACAAGTTGAAAAGTTCCCCGAATAGCGGCTAGTTGGCACCCTCGAGAAGGGACACTTGTGACCCCACCCACACCTTGCTACAGTTCCACACTTTTTAATCTCTTTAAAAATATTTGAAACATTACGGAACTGCAAAATATAAGATTTTAAAACGAATGTATTATTTTGGTAACGCATTTAGTTTTTATTGGTATTTAAACTACAGTTAAGTAACCAAAATAAACCTCAAACTTACATTTTGTAGATATTTATATCACCTTATTTCATATCAATAAAAACCCGATATGATTAATGTGAAATTTACAACTCAAACATATCAACTCGATATTTAATCATATTAATTATTTCCTACAAATTATTAGAATACTGTTATCTTTATTCATATCAAAATTATATACAACTTGATCTGCACATTTCAATCTAAAACTTTGATGCTTAAACTTATAGCCTGGCAGCTATAATCAAAAATGTACAAGTCAATGTTCCTAAAAGTATTCCAGTAAATGGGTCTATCATCTATGATAATAAAGTTCGATCTCAATAAAATTGGAAATGGTATACGACTTTAAGATTATTATATTTTGGATTTTTATAGATGTATTTTGACAATACTTTAAGTTATTGGCTCAAATTGTGTACAATTTATTTTATGAATAATTTATGGATAAGAATTTCTTATTTATAGCTCACAAAACAGATTTTGAATCAAGAAAGCCAAAAAATATTATGACTAAGTACAAATTATTGTTTGAACTAGTATATAATTTTTATTTTATAAATTTGATTATTATCACGACCCCAGCAAAGGCCAACAATATTCGCCGCGTTCTACGCCAAGAGGGTACTTTCCGAATTTCCGATTGTCCTGGCTGCAGACGTTACTCCTGGTGGAAGTGATAATGGTGATGACGCAGTGGCGGATGTTGTTCCTGGAGATGCGAGTGGTGTGGCTGTTGCAGTTGGGTGTGTTGCATCATCTGATGCCTGTGCATTATGACATGGTAGTGCTGCAGCATGGCGGCCTGGTGATGATGATGGTCAACTAGGGAACTGGGAAAGTAGGCGCCATGCGACTTCATTGGATGGCTGTAGTGGGTGTAGTGTGGCTGTGGTATCCGCTGGTAGGGATGACCATGTCCCGTCACCTTCGGCATTCTGCCCATCTGGCTGCGGCGCAGGCGTCCCGTCGTCTCGCCAATGGACAGATCCTCGGCATACGGATCGAGGGCCCAGTAGTGACCGCGACCGGGATCATCGAGGGCCCGTGGCACGCGGACAAAGAACGGATTCAGACTGAGATTGTGCCGTATCGAATTCTGCCAGACGTTCTTCCGACTGCGATAGTACGGAAAGTTGTCTGCAATCCACTTGCAAATGCCGCTGAGGGTTAAGCGCTTCTCCGAACTGCTCCAAATGGCCATCACAATTAGGGCGCTGTAGGTGAAGGCCGGCTTGGCAGTGCTATTGCTCTTCACGGAACCGATCGGACTGGAACTCGAACTCTTGGCCTCGTCTTCGGAGGTATTTTCGGAACCCGATTGGTTTGGATTCGGGTTCGGAATCGGGGCATCCACCTTCTTATCCACAGATAGCAAGGATCGGATGGAGAAGCTGGACTGAAAGACCGGTGTCGTATTCATGGCCATAATAATAAATAGAATGCTTGTGTCACTGGTTGAGCTGCTGTCGACTGACTGTGCCCTGTCCATCGGCAGACAGATCTATTTATGCGGGACAAGCGGAGGCGGAGGCGGCTGCCCGAAAGGATTACCCGCATATCCTTGGCCCAGGATTAGCGATCCCCCCGATTTAATCGCCGCGCAACGAGCTTAATGGCAAACAGATTCATGAAAGCCTTCGGATTCATTCATTGATCCACATCCACGAACGGGAGTCGCAAACGTTTTCGGATTAGCGCAGGACTAGCGGTTGCTGAATGGGATTAATTTTACCTGCCCCTGGGGACCTCGTCCTCCCCCGCGGCGCCTATCCTCTTCGGGAACACCTATTATCGATATTGTCGAACTGCTGACCTAAGAAAGTTTCATACATTTCAACACTGGGAAAACTCTTCGTCCGTAAAACCCTTTAGAGGGTATTATATATATCAATTTGGTCTGATGCTTGTAACTATCAGAAACACATACGAATAACCCTTTTCGGACATATTTTTTCGAAAACTGTAATATTAATATTAATCCTCAAAATTATCAACAGTTTAAGTATTTTTGATTTTTATATCTAAGAACACCAATCGATTGGGAATTTATCACAAAATTAACGTTGTAGCAGTTTTGTTCAATGGGTTGAAAAAATTCGGAAAAAAAAATGACATTTTTGCTGGAACATTGGGACTTAAGAATTATGACATGTTTGTGTTTATGTGTTTTTCCGTCGTAATATTATAAATATTTAATACCAAATTTGACAAATTTTAAAAATATAAAATATTTAAATGGTAAAAAAAACACGATATTGAATTACCATTACAATTCGATGGTGATCCGGGTAAAATAGGAGTTTCCATAGCCGCAGAGTGGAGAAAGCGGGGAAGGCCTGGCTAAAGTGTTGTCACACTTCTACTCGTAAATCGCAAAACTGCTTAAATGGCAATGTACAATGTGTGATAAATGTGCTGGCCACCGGCACAATCAGTTTCCCAAGCCAGAGCCACTCAGATTTACGGAGGAGGAGCTCCTTTTCTGGCGATTCCGGGTGTGTCTGCCATGTTGCTACTGCTGCTGCACTCTTAGATGTAAATGGCCCTCGAAAATTCCTTTTGGTCCTTCGGCCCCACTGACAAGTGAGTGTCTGAGTGTGCCTATGTGTGTTTGGGTGCAGTGGCGTAGTCAGAACTCAGATAGGTGGCTAAAATGTCATTTAAAACACATTATTTCAAGCTAGAACCGGTTTTTTTTTAATTTTTGTAATTATAATATACATATAAATTTAAATATTTTATGATTTCCCTGACCTAATATATTTCTAATGTATCTGAAATTGCTCAGAAATTAAGATTTCTCTCGGTGGCGGAGGTAATGCCCCTTCGAATGACATTTGTCATGGGTGACTTTCACAACTGCGGGGATGACATTAACATAGAGAATCACTTAAACAACTTTGACGGATGGCAGTGGCCACCTCTGCTCCTCACTTTCCACACTAAAAACATGCAGTTGCTGCAAGACACTTTCACACACACAAACACCAGACACAACCCACACACTGACACATTATTTGTATGATTTATGTGCATAATATGACTGCTTTCGTTTTGGCATGGAAACAATCGCAGCATACTTAAGAGCGCCTGCTTCAATTTATTGCCCCGCCAGAACTGGCGGCACCGGAAAATAATCATATTGGTCGTTAAATCGGTATTAGTCCATAACAAAATATATCTGTCATATCCGCGTTGAGTGTTGAAAATCAAAAGTATTATTATGCCAACCTTTGTTACGAATTCTGGTTGGGTGCTACGACCATATCGACAAACAAAGTGTTGACCATCAGGCAACCAAGGTGAACAGAAATGGGTATATAAAAGTATATAAAAGGGAAAAAAATCCATACATTTCATGGAAAAATATTTGTTTTTTTTTAAGGAAATCCAAAAAGGTAGTTTCTAAAAAAAAATATTGTAAGTAACTATTTCGTAAGTATATAAATATTTTTCTTCAAGTCGGAAATGTGTATCAGTATCAATCAATTATAATAAAATACTCGATAAATTGAAAACTAAATTTTCTTAAAAGTTTATAAATTGATTCTGATCAAGAAAATATTATTTGCAGGGTAAAAACTCAATATACCCTCCTGCCCAACGAGTACTGGGTATAATTATCATCTTTGTTAAATTTTCTTAAGAATTTAATTAAATTTTACGTGATTGATTGCACTTGGCTAGATGGGCTGGATGAGGCGTTTTTCAGGACCCGGACCCCCAGGGGCCCTAGGTGTTGGACTCCGAAATGATTTTTTAATTTTTTGCGACAGCCAGCGGGAAAAGGCGGGAAAAGCGCGGGAAAACGGGAAAACGGAAAAAGAAATATAAGTCGAAGTCGAAGTGGGGAAGGCATAATTAAAAATGAAAGCTGCTTAATAAGTTCGCCGCGCGTTCGCCTTTGATGAGACCATCAAACACGGACCGGCAGCAACAAAGTTAAATAGCAGTGAAAATGGTGTCTACAGGAGGGGGAAGAGGGGGGATTTTAGGGGCTACGGCATAGGCGTACAAATTAAGAGACACTTTTATTTTTATGCTTCCCCCGCTTCTACGATTTTTGGGACAACATGCGTGCCAACTGGGGGCCAACCATCCCGACTTGGCCTAAATAAATGCTGGGGCTTTAGTGTTAATGAGGCAATGCGTCACTGGGAGCAGAACGGCAGCCTCCGCCATCCCCTCGTCACGTCTCTGGTTCATCAGCAATGGCATTGACTTCATCAGCTGCCGCATTGTTGGTGGCACACTCCCCACGCCCCAAAAGGCCCCAAATTTGGCCAAAAAACGAAACTAGAGGGGGACAAGGACGGCAAAAAAAGGAAGCTGGGACAATGCCGCATAAAGTGTGTTAATTGTTAAGATTTGCCGAGTGGAGTACAGAAATAATGTTTGCCGGCTTAAAATGATAAATCGAAAGGTGGACCCGAACTGTTGGCTGGATTATTGGGGGCCGCAGGCTCAATGGAAAATTATACTGAAAATGGGAATGAAAGCGAAATTATGTCCACGTTTCGCCGAGCAGAGGGGATAACTAATTGGGGCCATCATTACGGGGGCAGCGCAAAAACCAATAACTTAGCTGCGACTTAACAGGACTAATGGCTCTACAATGAACTAGAGTTCTTTGGTTTTAGGGCTTAGACACTCCCGCATCTCACAGCATTTTCATCATTAGGATTCTTTTTAAGCAACACAAGTACAGAATTTCGAAATAGGGAAAAAAACATAAATATTATATATTTTCTATTCATTTAGTTTAAATTAAATTTATATTTTAAAATAATAAGTTCTTAAATATAAAAGATAAAAAAAATGATAAAAAATCATCAACAAAAAATTATATTTAAATTTACAGATATTTATTTGATCAATAAATTACAAATAATAATATTACAACAAGAAATCAATAAATTACAAATAATAACATTAAAATAAGAAATAAAAAGGAAAATTAATAAATATTATATCCAAACGAAATACTTAAGATTAAATGGAATGAATAATGTTATATTAAAGGATATAATCTTTGGTTTATATTTTTGGTTTATATTTTAGTCTTGAAAAATCGAAAGGGGTTAGAAATGGAAATCTTTTTATAAATAGAAACAATCCTTATTTTAGTCCATTTCGGCACTTTATTTGTCCAATCTTGGGCCTCTGGCCTTTGAGTAGTTCAGTTGATTAGCGGTAATCAAATCAAATCAAATCAGACTGTAACCTTTGCCACTCAGTGCAACCTTTGAACCCGTGGCAAGTGGCAAGTGGCAAGGCGACTCCGGTTTAACATATACAATCTTTCAACGGGGCTCGGGGTAAAAAGCAAGAGTCATCGACCAATTTTGGGTAAAGAAACAAAATGAAAATCGTTTGTCACACTCGCCAGCCAGCACACCCACTCGCATACACATATGCCACTTATTTATTTCGCATTACGCATTATTCAGATAAAAATTTCCCAGCTGACAGTAGTCGTCCTTCGTCCTGCGTCCTTCGCCCTCCCTATCCTTATCCTTATTCCTTTTCCGATCCCTCCAACCAGTAATTGTAAGTTGACTTTTGCTGTGCTTGGCGAAAAAGCTGGGCGGTTTGGGCCTGGTCTTGGGTGGCACAACCCTTCAATCAATCACCAGTGCTGACAGTTACGCAAATATCAATCAAAAAATAAATCGGATGTTGTATGTAGAAACTTGTTTGGCCAGGTGGGCGTGGCAGCCACCGCAGACAGAGCTTGCAAGTTGGATTAGAGGAAGCCGATGATGGAAATGAAATGGCGGCAGGATTGAGGGCGAAGCAGTTCCTTTGACACGTGGTTGCACCAGTCGACGCGCTCCCATATCCCTTATCCTTTGGCCTTGGCGAGTGGGTGGTTCCCGGGCGGCATTGCCCTTTGTTTTGTCGCTTTTTTTTGTCCCTACACGATATAATTGCCTCGTCTGCGAGTGTCAACTCGCTAAGCCGCAGTCAACACACACAAATCACATGTGAAACAAATATTTCTCACAGGGGCTTTCACACGTTTGACTTCAATTTAAATAAATATATTTAAGTGCGTTAAAAAATAAGAAATTAAATACCTGCTAATATCATAAAGTTTGTACCTTATAGAATTAATGTCATACTAAATATAATAAAGATTATATTTTGTGATTATTTTTACTTCTACACCGATATGGGTATTTTAATATATCATTTAATTAATCTCATTAAGATTTTTTTAAAAAACAATAGTTTAAAATTTATAAACGCATTGACCTTTTTTCTCTGTAAAATTAAATAGCAGTTTAAATTTAAATATAGAAACAACATTTTGGTAATATAAGAACATGATAATCTATATAGTTTTATATAATTTCAATAAAATTTCAGAAGAGCTTTATAGCTCATATCTCAGCTATAAATGTAGGGTTGTGAAAACATCGATTGTGGACATCATCGATATTATCAATACTATCGGAAAT